GAGGCCTCCTCACACCCCTACAGCCTCACCCGGTCCTCCAGAGATATACACAACAGAACCATAAGCCAACCGGCTGTAACAAAACAATAAGCCTACTGGCTACACATAAAGTCCAGGCCCGCCTGTCTCTCTTGCCAATGCCTCCTGGTCAGGCTTCTCTTCACCCTGACCATCATGCAGACCTCTGGGTGCTCAGGCTGCACTGCTTGGCTTAGCTCTCCTGCAGAGCTCCTACACCTCAGGCTGCCAGAAGGGAGCTGCCAGCCAGGCTCCAGCCTGGCTGTTTATAAGGGCCCGGCCCTACCCCCTTCTGGTCACCTGACCAACCTGGTTGCTCCAGCAACCCGCACCTGAGCTGCCCTGGAAATTAGCAGAGGCCCTAATCCCTACTTAGGCACAGGGCACCCAAGTGCCCCCATGACAGAGGGGCATAAAATTCCTTCAATCCCAAACAAGCCATTGTTTTAATGTCTGCTAGGGGTAACAGTGTTTTCTGTGTAGTATCATTTTAGACTAAAGCTGGGTATTAGTACAGTACAATTTATGTGAAAGATTTCAGTAGCTACTAGTTACCTGATACAGAATGGATGAATACAGTGCAGACATAAGGTAAAAAAGTCATTTTGATTTGAGGCATGTTCTGGCTGATTAGACTGACAGGATGCTATAAGTGCATGAACAAACATTCACTTGGAGCAGTTTCAAAAGGAAAAGGGAAGCTGCTGTTCCAGAATGCACAGCAGCTGCTTAACCATAACCCCTACATGTGCACAAATCTGTCATCATCCAAGTGAGCTACCCTGTCCCAACTTTAGTCCCAGATGAAGCAGGGTTAAAGTTGGAGGAATTTTGCTACATTGTATCGCTGCATCCTTTACAGTTACAGTACAACAACTGCTACCTTGCCCAAAGCAGCATACCACTCTCTCCTTTTGAAACCACTCCAAGGTTCGTCTACACCAAAGATAAATTAATTCAGCAAAGAAAAATCACAATACAATTCATTTTTTAACATTTGAATTTAAATTCCAATCTAGTAGATGGTATTTTCCTAAAGTTACAAACAGGCCACCAAACAAGAGCATTAAACACGTCTCAGCTTATTTGTGAAAAGAAAAATTAAATGCAATATCAGTACTTGTCCTTTGAGTCTTATCTTAAACAGCTAAGAGTAGATATTGTTATAGACCAAACGTTTTGACAGACCTATAACAATTCACAAAGAATAAAGCAAGTTTATAGAGGAAAATGTATAGAGTAAAACCATGAGCCAATTAAAGTCAATAGGAAAGCTCACTTTGACTTTAAAGGATCCTGGGATTACTAACAGTATTTTTAAGTTAATAAAGGGAGTAGACTCAACCACTAAGGAGACTATAAATGTTTGGGCAAGGACTCTCTTGAATTATGCCTTCAAATAAATACCTAACATAACCAGGCCCAACTAAGTGCATGCATAATGCTAATAAGTAAGAACAACGATAATGAATATCACTCAGAAACATTGAAGATACAATACTTCTAGGTATGACTATACTTCTTGGTATTACTTCCGATTAATCAAATTCCTTGATGCACTTATATGATAGTAGTTGAGAATATATACCCCTACCAACATTTAATTTAATACTGGGGAAAACAAGCAGATCCCTTTTTCCTTCCTTAGTATAAAAATGTCTGGGAAAAGAAAGACAATGCAGTCAAAGGGAGTTATTTCAATTGTGCAAGTATGACAGAAGAGGCTGTGTGTCCACCTGTAGCTCCAAGTTTACTTTGAAAGGTAAAACCATCATAGTTATCCTAAAGTTACTGATACCTCTCTCCGTCGAGAAGCCCAGCAGGTTTGTTTGATTTTCCAAACAACGGCAGCTACCAGCAGTAGGGACAAGAAGCAACTGCAATTACAAAAGAAAAAAGGGAAAATAATAACAATCAAATTACTTTCTATAAATGCTCTGTAAAATAATTTTCTCTTTGATTAGGCAAGAAAGCTGAGGCAAGAAAGCTAAGCAGGTGCAGAAAACACAAAAATGTTGGAAAATTTAATTCTTGCGCAATGATTGATAGCTGCCAATCATCTAGCTGTCGAGTGAAAAAAAAGGTGCACACCCAGAAGGTGCATCAAGCACTACTGCTATCCTCACTAGAGCAGCGTAATCTCAGTCAGAATCACAGTACAGTCACCAAGTGTGTGTTGGGTATTTCAAGCTCAGCAGACAAAAAAGGAGGGGACAACCTGCTCTTCGAAAAATGAAGGATCTGGAAGGGGAAACTTCAGATGCCTCAAAACTCTTCTGATTTTGGCTCTCAGTAAGTGGAAGGAATGCAGGAATTATAATTAGGCATCACATTCATTATTGAGTTGGCACATGAGGCAGCACTGGGTTCCTTTCTCCAGTATACCAAGTACGTCTGTTATAGGAATAAAATCACTTTAAACACCATTGTTGTTAGACTACTAAGGAAAAAAAAATGCAAAAATCTACTTGATTTGTGTAATATTTGAATGACTAACTCTCCATGCTTCCTAGCCATTAGTTACTTTTCCTCCTTTTCCAGCTATTCCACCCATTTATATTTCTTCTGAGGTATAACTCTTGCCACGCAATTTTAGGAGAGAAGCTCTGTTGAATCCTACCTTTTCCTAGTGAGGTTCAACATGGTTAAAGAGAGGACAAAAGTTCTAAAAAGACATACCTACTATAAGATACCAGGACACGTTTTTAATTGGTTTAGTCTTTATAAAAAACAGGGTTTACTAGTTGCACCTAAATGTTGTTAATAAAGACTGGTCTCTCTGTACAGTTTTTGCAACTGAATAATAGAAACTTTTTACTCTGCCAGCCCAATTACCTATGCAATTAGTGCACATGAATAAACTTCAGAGCTTATTGCTCCAGAGTTTTTTTGCTCCTGTGCCTGCCATTTGAACATGCATCTGGGAGCAATGAACATGCATCTGGGAGCAATGAACTCCACAGCTGATATTCACCCAAAATACACCCTCACCACCCCTATTGGGAAGTATATAACAAAGGTGGGTGGAACTTTCCTTAAGAAGGAGAGAACAAGTAATTGAAACCAACGGCTAGGTTTTACTGCCTTGAGTCTGGCTGTACAGATTCAAGAAGACTGATCAGCCTAAACTTGAAAAGGAAAAAAAAAGTTAGTTTCTGGTCCTAAATGCAAAGCTCTACCTTCCTCTTAATAGCCAATGTCAACTACCAGCATGTCTTCTGAAGGTTCTTTAACCCTCTTTGGGGCTCAGGTGCTGGTATAGAAAAGAAAATATATACTCGCTCACTCCTCCTAGGACCACTCTTTAAAATTATACTGGGCTTTTATTGGATCCTGGCACAGTCGTTTTGTATAGATAACTGACTTCTCAGAGGTTCTTCTGGATGTGTGATAGCAGGACCAATGGATTGGAACAGTTCAACATACTTCCAAATGATTTTTCCTACAAAAAGCTTTTGGTAGAAAGAGTAAATGAGCTTTAATAAAGGATGTAAAAGGGCAATGTGCTAGTTCAGGAACCTGAGGGATTTCAACTCTCTACTCTTTATTGAGTCTTAATGTAAGTTATCTTTCTGCAAATGGTCCTTATTGAAGTGATAAACCATTTTGTTAATATACTATTGTTGCTAACCAAGGATATTCTGTCAAAAGCTTTTCCCTAACAAAATCTCTTTATCTTGAGAGCCAACCTCTGATAGCGATGATAATGCTATGAGTCACTATTGTAGAATGGAAACACACTTGCTAATGGAACCATTTAGTCCATGATTAAGGTTGACCCTTTTCCTTTTTCGTTCTTTCTTTCATCATCATCAGTATTTTTTAAATTTCCCAGTGGCCCCACCTCTATTTCTTGGTTGACATCAAGGATTAGCAGACGAGGTGTTAACACTAGGGACAGAGTAGAATAGAAAACTGTCCTGGGACAGCACGTGAAATAAAGGTAAATTGTTCCATTTGTTCTTTTCCTCCTCTCCTATTTATCCACCTCAGAAAAAAATGGGAGGTAGTAACACAGAGTCTCGTAGTGGCATTTAAGAGTACCGGTCCCCAACTTATGGCTTGCAGAAAACATGTTGCCTCTGAGATCAGCTACAATGCTTGTGGCCACAGGAAATTTAAAAAAAAAAGTCTTAGGTTGGCAGGGATAGCAATGCATGACTGCCTGCAGTGAATTACTGTCGTCTTGAGGCCAACAAAGCTTGGGAACCATTGCTTTAACGAAACAGGATTGAAACTCAAATCAATACAAGCAAGTACAAGTACAAGGGAATTAGGGCACGAGAAAGATAACATCACAGGCTGGTCAGTAACCTGCATCTCAAGAGAGGATCCCATTCAAGCAGTCGGAGGCATAGTTTTTATAGAGGTGGGGCAAAATCTGAACATAGTTCCCAACATATTTAGTATGTGGCCTGTGGGGTGGGGTATAACCTGTGTATTTTGTTCCAGGGAGAGTGCTTGCTTGATGGTGGGAAGGGATTTGGAGAACCTACCCTACACAGGGAGCATAAACCTAGGCATTTGGCAGGCTCTGAACAAACCTTGGACAATAGTCCTTCCTACCTCTCTAAATCTATGATCCTACTACATTCCCAGGAACTGAACCAATTTCAGAGGAACTGCTCTAAGCCACCTCTCATCCAATCCATGTCCTGGCAGCAGACCTGAGGCCAAGATGAAAGTTTATACACGGCCTAATACAGGGCCTATGGGAATCAATGGAAAAATGACCACTTTGTTCTATGTTAAGATACATCAAACATTTGAGATCTCAGATGATAACAAGCTACCTTCCCTACCATCTATGAAGAAAAGTTTCTTGCAGAGCCAGCCTTACAGGTGGGCAATGTGGGTGACCACCCACGGTGCTGTGGTCGGGGGGCACCCTCCCACACACACAAACATACAAGTGTGAGCAGCCCATGCTCCCAGCAGCGCTCTCCCCCTCCCACCCCATCCAATCCAATCCCCAGCCCTGGCAGGAGAAGCGGTGCCCAGGCCAACCTGCCTCCTACCTCCAGCCACTGCTCAAGATGAGCCGGGCCAGCCATGTGTCTGTGGGGTGGCTCCTGCTCCAGTCCACCTGCCTTACTTCCACACAACGGGCAGTGGTGCTGGCTGGTGGGCAAGCAAATCTCCTACTACATACTGAAACTCAAAGACAGGGCTCCAAAATATAAGTTCACCCAGGGTGCCATTTTAAGGCTGGCCCTGGGTTCTTGGATTAGATAAAAGTGCCAAAAAGCCCTTCTGAAGCATCCAATCTATACAGATCCTGTGGAGCCAGGGCAAACTAACGTGCTGCCTCTTCTGGTAAAGCACTTTTTTCTTTGTGGGGGGGGGGGGGCAGGGGGTTCACATCTGTCACAGCCCTTGTCAAACCAACCTGTTTTTATTCTGTGATGAGATTAACAAACTCAGTTTATAAAGATAACAGCTTAGATGTAATACATTTAAACGTCTGTAAACTGATGCCCTAGCATCACATAACATTCAGATTACAAATTAACACAATACAGCGTTGATAAGGACATGTTAAATTAATTAAGAATTGGCTAACAGAGATCTCAAAAAAAAAAACTAGTTGCTAATTGGCACACTCTTGAATAGTGGTATTTCTAGAGGGGCTCCACAAAGTTCAGCACTAGGCAAGATGCTATTTTCATTTTCAATATTTTCATTGATGATTTGGAAGTAAATATGCAAGTGCTCCTAATACAATTTGCAAAGATGTAAAGATTGGCAGAATTGTAAATAATGAGGAGGACAGAACAGCCATGCAGATTCAAACAAACCGATTTTAAATATAGGTGATGAAAAGCTATACGTCTAGGAACAAGGAGTGCAGTCCATACTTAAAGAATGGGGGAGTCACTTGGAAACAGTGACTCCAAAAAGGATTTGGCCTCATGTTGGACAGAAAGCTCAATGTATACACAAAAAGAACAAATGCAATTGTAATGCTGAGAGTAATGAGTGGGAGTAAAGAGGTGATTTTTCCTCTGTATATGGCACTGAGGGGACATATGCTCGATACTAGAATATTAGCATCTAGTAGCATCTGTTGAAAGACAGAACAGGGTGCAGAACAGAGCCAAAATATGATTTGAGATCTGAAGCAACTGATTTACACTGACAGACTTAAGACAGTTCAAATTGTTTGGCTTATCAAAAGTTGAGTGGAATAGTGCCTAAATATCTTTTAAAATCTTGGATTTATTCCCTATGTTTAATTGACTTTCAATGTTTTAATCAAGGATAAGGGCATGCATATTCCTTTGCTGCTCAATAACCTTAACTCTGACCTGTAAATTGCTTAAATGTATTTCTGTCATTGTGATTTTGGTATCTCCGGATATTTGTAAATCTGAACCAAAATCAATACTCTTGTCCAAACATAAGCACTATATGAAACATCTGAAAAAGTGTCACAAAGATAAATACTTATAAATTAAAAGGATCAGTCTTGAATATAAGTTCAGATACACTCATAATTTTACCATAATCCATCAATGCTGTATCATTCTAATAAATTAGATGCATATTATTTTCATGAAACAGCAATGACAAGTTATTTACCATTTTGCTGGCAAAGGATACATATTTTACCTAGCATCCTATGAAAGGAACTATGCAGATACTGAAATCAGGATGATAAAAAAATAGCTATTTTTTCCCCAAATACCTGGGTCTCAATTAAGACTGTGGTCCTGTTACAAAATACATTTGTCTCTTAGAGCTTGACAAGAATACTGTGTTCATGCTTATGATAGTTTCATAGTTTCTAGGGTCGGAAGGGACCTGAGCAGATCATCTAGTCCGACCCCCTGCCATGGCAGGAAAGAGCACTGGGGTCAAACGACCCCAGTAAGGT